GAAGAACCAAAAATGCATGTTCCTTGAAATTGTAAAGTTTAACTGTTTGCTGAACAACTTGCAGAGGAGTTATGTGTGTTAACTAATGACATGGCATGCACAAAAATCATGGTAAGCTTCAGAAGTCAAGTTTTAGAAGCAGACTCAGATGTGGCCAGTAATAACTTGACATTTGCTGTTGACCAGTTCTGATACAAAGAAAGAAACAGATCAGTGACAACATACTCACCTCCATTTCTTTGTGCTCATATTTCATTACATTTCGTGCTCCTTGGCTTTTCCTCCTGATTTTTTTCAGCTCAGCCTGAGACTTCTCTAAGGAATCTAATTTGCTTCTGTGTTCAGTTTGGTACCTCTTTAAAGTTGCCTGCAATCAAAGCATTCAAAACATCTCAGTGCACTCAGCCCCAGACCTGGGTAAGTAAGTCACTAAGAAGCACTGCCATCATCTATGAGATGCTGCTATCACATAGCAAATGAGTTCAGCAATTGCCTCTCTCCACTTTAGTTTAAAAATATTCTTAAAGCCCTGCACTGGTTCCTTTTTTAACACAAAATAAGTATGACAATTTTTGTAGTGTTTATGCATCTAAAGCTCAGTTCCAACACAGTGATTAAGTGCTAGGAGCCTATTTCTGAAAAGTTCTTTGACTAGCCATACATGGATAAAATATGATTTTTATAATTGAATGTACTTACAGTCATGTATTTCACATCCAGGTCTGTTTTCTTCTCCAGTTCAGATATAATTTCTTTATGAAATTTTTTGAACTTTAAAAGCAAATGAATGAAGAGTTATTACAAATTGGCAAAAAAGTAATTTCTAATTTCTGATGGAAAATAGAAAAAGAAATGGTTTAACTTACACTCTCCTCTAGGCTGTCATTGAGTTTCTTGTGTGTTCTTGAAATTTCTACCAGAACTTGGCCTGTTGATAAACATACAACCATATTTGTTTCTTTCAGAGAGTTCTGAAGTTAGTTAACAGAGAGCAGTAATAAATTATATTTAACTAACATTAATATTAACTGGAATATATTTAGGAGAATGGGAAATTTCTTGCTGTTGCTCATCCCCGTAGTTTAAATAAGTAACCAGATCTGGCCACAGACAAACCAAGCAGCACATGCAGGATAGAAAAAATAATTACTCACTGATTATTATGCAAAAGGGACATGGAGTGCCAGACAAAATAAATACTTCCTTCACTCCAGAATAGCTCACACTGATTTAGTAACAGCCTCTTTTCTTGCCAAGTCAGAGAATAGCACAGAACTAGAGATAGTAGTTACTATCCAAATAGCTGCTATCCATTTTCAGTCTGAAAATTAAACTTTAATGTTTATTAACTAACTGCACCTTCAGAATTAACAAAGTAGCCTCTCACGTTCATTCACAGCACACCTGCTAATCCATATGCTGATTAATTTCCCATGCTGTTTTATCAGGGATTACAGCCTGACAAACAGCATTAACTAACAGCCAAGAAGCAGCAGATTTCTCAGCATCCTCTCAACAGATCCTAAATATCCCTCTTAGGCTCTGCTGCCCTCCAGTACAGAGTCACACAGCTTGCTTTTAGCCCTGAGCAGTTAAAAGTTGAACTGTTTCATTTTGCTTTAGGAGGATACAAGAGGGAAAATACCTCAATCCTTTGGGTGTGGTTCTGTGTGCAAACCAAGGTAAACTCTGCCTGCTGCGGTCCTGCCCCGGGTGCAGGCAGCCACATCATCCAGCTCTGGATGCAGATGGCCACATCATACCCACTCCCTTCTTTGTGCTGGCACTGATACGCTCAGTGCGTGCCAGTCTTGTCTGGCTTGCAACACACTGCTGGGAAGAGCAGCTGGAAGTGTCCTGAAGCACCCAGTCTGACTTCACCCACGTTAGACATGTACACACAGTTACTAGGTCTTACCCAGGAGCTGCTGCAAAAAAACTGGAAGTGCTGGGGCCATGAGCAGATTCTCAGACTGTGTCACATCTGAGAGCCGTGACTAGAGGTGTGTTTCACTGTCATGGCAAGAACAGCAGGCTCTGTTCCACAGCTGGTTCTCTGGCATGCCTCCTTCGGGAATCTTACAGTTACCCCACTGCGAATACTGGGTGCTGCCAGTATTAAACCTCCAATAGCAATTTCCTAACGTACAGACAGATCTAGCTAAACAACAAAAAACATAGGTCTGCATTACTGTTTATGGGAGAACATGAGGCATTTCAGGAAGAAAAATGTGCCTTTCCTTACAGCATCTCTCATTTCATGCCCCAGTCCCCACTTCTCCGTCTCTTTGCACAACAGACTACATGAGAGTTGGAAGAGGAATTAGAACACAGTAAGTTAACTTCTTGATTAGCAAGAAAAAGGGAATTCATACTCAGGATGGTAGGTGAGAGAGACAGAGGGTTCTGTATTATTTTTTTTTATAGCTATCTTTTTTCTGGGTCCCTCTTTTTGTTTGTATTTAAAGTTGCTGGTGACTACTGAAATATAAATACTATGAGAGCGAGAGGTGCTCTAGTAGTTAGTTGCTCATATGCAATAGAAAAGTAAATACAATGTGGTTACATAAACACTTGAAGTAACAGACATGAGTAAGCCACCTTGTTATTTTAAGGCTGTAGTAGTGAATGCACTTCAGTCCACTGCGTTTCTATTTCACTGAACTCAACTGAAAGATGCATTTTAGACTCTAACAGACTTTTAAAAGACTTTTGTAAACACTTATCTGCAACTTTAAAAGGAAAATAGTATGAAAAGAAATCGGGAATAAAATAACCAAGAAGCACAAACAAAATTACAAAGTTTGCTAGGTTTAAATATGCAGACTAGAAAATGACTGGGGAAGTTCTAGAAATTCAGGGTGTGTGTTGAAGTGCCCCTCAAAATAACTGCCTTGACTGACTTTTTGCCCTTTTAAAAGCAAGCTTACTCTCCCTGTTTGTAAAAAGCCCGTTCTGAGCATCTGCTGCCACAGCAGCACTCTCGGCTAACCTTTGGCACTGCTAATGCAGCCAGCCCCAGCGTCCGAGCACTGACAGACACCCAACAAGGTCGGGTATTGACTCAGCTCTCACCCTCCCTTCCTCTGGCCTGCGCTGCCACCACAGAGCAGACGCTCAATAAAACACCCATTCACCTGGTGCGGCAAGAATGGAAAACCTGACGCTGGGAGGTTGTTATTTCTGTCTCACACAGCACTTGAACTGACTGCAGCCTTCAAGTCTTTCGGCTTTCAATGCTTGGTTAGAAAGAGGTTTTTTTCATCTTTATTACAAAGAATGCTGCCAAAACATGTCCTGAAATGAAGAGAACTTTAAAAAATACACTTCCTTCTAAATGGTTTGGGCTGGGTTATTTTACAAGTTTATTTTAGAGTGTTCTAGAACACTTTCAAATAGTATTTTTATATACTAGTGACTGTATCTCTAATTGCATTTTCTTTTTCTCTCAACCAAAGACTCTCTATGCTGCGCATCAGGCAAAAGCCATTTAATGCTGGATCTCCTACTGCCTGTGGTAATCCACAGGCACTGTATGTACTGGCTCACCCATTTAATTTCCTCTTTCATGCTTCGAATCAACATTTTGAAAAGAACCCATAGGAAGCACACTTTGACGTATTAAGATTTAACTTACAGGTCAGATCCTGCCCTTCGAATAAATAGAGCACCTTTTTACAGTGAATATAAAGCATGGTTTTTATTCCTAGTTTAAGACAACAGGTTAGCCACATTTTGTACCCTCCCAAGTAAGATTTATACAAGGAGACAAGTTTTTGTAGAAGACTAATTCAGGAAAGGCAAAACAGCTCCTAGCCTACATGTAACAGAACAGCTCTAATAAAGACAGTCAGTTACTCTGGATTATTAACAGCATAACCTAAGGTCAGACTCTAGTGTTCACTAATTATTAATCTTGTAAAAAGGTAAAGGAAACTACTTCAGGTAAAGACAAATATCTATTTCTCACATCAACTAAAACCACTTTGCTCTGTATTCAAGCTGCTCATGATGAGGTTTAATACATGAGAGCTCATGCTATACAATAACCAGGTATTAACCTTGTCATCCTTTATTGGCAACCCCCAAACCTATCAAACAGAGTAACACAACCAGACTGCATGATAACAGGCCACTTCAGTCCAGTTTGTGGCAGACATGCTGTAAACTTGAACCAGTTCTTTGGCATTATATTATGCAGCAAATTAATAATCCAAAACCACTGGTTTTGATGAAAAACATAACTATTAAAATACCGGCCTTTCAAAGATGTTTTTTCTGCTTTCCATTCCCCCATACCCTGAACATGAAACCTTTGTGACTAGAAGAGCAGAGGCACATTAACTATTTCCACATTTGGTTAAGAAAACAAAAACAGAGTTTTAATGTTTACAGATACTTGCTTTGTTATTTTGCTATTACCTCAAGTGCACGACAGGGAAGAGAAGAAAATCTCTTTCAGACAGGGATTATGGGAGAACACCTCAAGTATCTTAAATAACTTGAAAAAAACCCTAAACATTTCTCTTACATGGTTCTTGAAACCATGCTGCATAACACAGCTATTATCTGAACTATGACCATGAACAGTAACGCCAAGTCCCATGGTAAATTTATTTTGGTTTCAAATAGGTTCAATGCACAGGTACAAAGATCTTTTAAGCTGAAACTTCAGGAGTCTCTGGAATATTTTTAGGCTTAACCAAGACTGCTGGTTGTGCATATATTTTCTATTGGGAAAATAAGACAAGACTAGAATTCCATGAATGCTGTTAGGTTTGTTACAAAAAAAAAAAAAATTACTAACCCCAAATATGTGTTATTTCTTCATACACAGCATCACATGAGCAAGAGACATCCTAAAAGACCATCTTTGCTTTGATGAGAAACAAGGAAAGCAATTTCTAACAGAAATACTCATTGTAAGACCAGAATGCAGAACTCCTGCGGCAGTTGCACTTCAGCCTCACTGTTTGCACTGGGTAATTGTACTGCTTATATCTTATGTTGACTGGTCTTACCAATAGAAGACTAGAAGAATTAGTTCAAGTTAGTAAAAGAACCTCAACTCAATAAAGAAACAAATACTAACAGCTACCAGCAAAATCACTGAAACTTGAAAACTACTAAATAGCTATATTAGAATCAATAGAAGTATTAACTGCATCACCTTACTTCAAATATACTTCAGTTTGGTTTTAGTTAAAGAAGGTTGCGCTTGAAAGATTTCAAGTCTCTTGACAGAGACTTTCTTAGATGTCTGGGAACGGACAGAGTGCTTAATTATATCACTCATTTATCTCCTGTTGTCCTGTTTTGCATCCAGGGCAGGCCAAGTAACTTCATGTCTTAGAGATGAAACCAAAACTTATTTACATTAAACAGGAGAATGAAAGGCTGAGTCAAAGCTCCACATGGAGAGAATGTAGTTCAAGTATATTACCTAGGTGCTGTTTCTGTCAAGATACTATTTTCCAAGTTACCCTTTGCTCAAAAGAAAGGCATTGGCGACAAGGGAAAGTTGGAAACAAAGTCCTCTGAAGCCAGTAGTATGTGAGAGGCAGTAAAATAGAAAGTTGCAAAGAATGCAGTATAACAAATAAATGACTGAACAAAACATCTGTTAAGCCTCAAGTGTGTTAAATTTATCATTTTGTCATAGGAAGGATTTAATTGTGCAACAGATGTTTTAAAGAAGGTGAAAAGGGTCAATAGTATTTAATGTGGAAAAATCATAAAGAAGGACAAAGTAATGTAAAAATTTGCAAGCTCTGTCTGTACTTTGCTTCTAATACAATTTGTCCAGAAAGCTTAAAAAAACCTAACCCAACACCCCCACAATCTGTAGAATTAATACTGATGTGCACATAAATCAGTAGGACGAGGTCAAGTCTGCCTTTCCTTACCACATGAACGAACATGAAATAGGAAGCAAGGAGTAAATCTCCCTATAGTTCATTTTATAAAATGGCATTGACACATGACCATTCAATGCCATTTTATGAAGGTGACTGCAGAAGGCGAAGGGGAAGAATAACAAAAGAGAATAGGGGAAGAGATTTCAGAGTATAACAGCGTATTTTAGGTCCATTATACGTGCTAGATGTAGTGCCCTGAAGCAGCAGCTCCACATAGTTATGTTTTGCTAGAACAGCAAATAAATAATCGAATCTGTAAATAAAACCAGAAGCAAATAGAACTTCACATTCTAAATGCTATTCTCAGATCAATTTTTACTTTAAAATATGCAGAGTTCTCCCTAAGGCTGTGAACAGAGATGGTCCTGCAATACAACAAGCAAATAACTTAAAACAGATTAAACATGGGTTAAAGGAAATAAAAACCTGACACAATGTATTCATGTACTAGTCCAGTAAAATAAAATCCCAAAGTGATATTGATTATGAGCCATGAGAAATGAAACTGAACATCATGACATTATTGGACATGTAAAAAAGCATAATTTCTCATTTAAAGTTATCTCACACTAATTGAGGTAAATATCTGAAACTGATTTAATGCTCAGAGTTAAGAAGTTTCAATTTCTCCAGAGCTCAGTTTTATCACAACTTTTTCCACAAGGTCCCTTACTTCTAAATATTTAAAATCTTTTTAGATATTTCACAGTCTCATTGACATAAAAGAGATAACCAGGTCTTCCAAAGTTTCTAAGACCTTGGAAGATGCCCAAGTCTATGTATCCTGCCTTGGTGTCCTGACAAAACAAGTAAGTAACAAATAGGACTGTACAAGATATTGTTGCTAATTTTGAGAGTTAGGCACCTATGGTGTTAGGTGGTGATGACCTCCTAGTGCTCTATTCCCTCCTTCACATAGGGCTTCACTGCCTGCGTGCCTCATATGGCTCCCTAGTGAAAAAAACATATTCTAGCCCAGTGTTCTTACTGCCTATGTTTGACCACAATCAAGACTTCATCTGCATGAAGCTGAAAATCAAGGGTGGGTAAGAAGTACTATGGCTTCTGTTTTTATCCAGCCAAATAATGCCTTTCCAGTCACAGCCGACATACTTTGAGCCCACAGCTGGTTTAATAAGCAGACACTACTTTCTAGGTACAGCATACTTGCACTGGAAGAAAAAGACCTTTTACCATTTTACAGCAAGTGCTGTACATTAAGTTCTATCCTTCACAAAATATTTGCTTTATTTTGATATGTATATATTTGCATGGACTTATATAGCATATGCATACAGACACCTGTCTGTATCTCACTGACAGCCCGTTCGCTCTGCACCAGAGCCAAACAGCAGCAAGTGAAAAATCAGAAAATAAAGGTGGCTAGTAGCAGGCTGCTACTATTGCTATTTTCTCTTGGTTCCTCTCCCTTCCAGCAAGTTTCTTATACCCAGGTAGAAGCATACAGCCAACTGGGCAAATTGCACTGCTGGTGACAGCTCAGCCGTGGCCTCCATCTCCTCAAGGACCTCTGTCTTCTAGTCACAGGCTTATCATGTTGTGGAACCAGCTTGAAAAATGTATTTAGAACCAGCTATAAGATGATGGCTAGGATTTTACCCCAAATGAATTTCTATCTCTAAAGGGTAAACCAAAAGGTAAACCACCAATTCTCAGGAGCTTAGCTGTATGCTATTTGGAATACAATCTGCTAGAACACATACTTGGCAATACTCTCTTTAACACTTCTCCTGTTGTTAAGGTTACACATTGCTCTCCGTGTGAGGAACAGAATCAAAGAATCCTGCTATTCTAAAATCCCTTCCCCATTTCATAATCAGACAAACAGTAAAGGGACACATCACAGTTCACTTCCACTGCAGTAGCCCAGCACCTCTTATTTATGATAGCATTTTCTTTTGTAGTTCAGGATCAAAATTCTGTAGTAATTATTTCCTTGTCTTTGTTAATGATCATGTGGAAGAAAATAGTGTAAGACAGTAAAACGAAGTACTTGCCCAATACATGAAACAATTAAAATTCTGATTGTTCCTCAAAGCTTTGGAATATTTAAATATTAAAAGATACAAAGAGCTCCTCAGAAAGTCTAGGACTGTTTATAAAAAAAAAAAAAAAAGCCATATTGAGTTAAACCCAAGGATCAACTTGCTTTTTAAATATACTTTACTTAGCCTAAAATTAATGCCAAATTCTTTCAGTTTGACACAAGTGATTTTAAAAGGTACTACAAAATTCACACTGTGCCCTACGTGCTCTTAAGCGGGCAGTGAACTGTTCATCAATTAGCTGTTCCCACATCAGACTTTACAAGAGTGAATATTTCAGACTATCAAGACCATTACAATTTCCAGTTACTCTGAGTTTGTTCTTGGTGTGATGCTCCTATTTCACAATTTAAAACAGAACAAAAACATTACCTTACATTATATTTTAAAGAGGAATGTCACTTCATTACGGTTTTAGCCTAATTCCCCTCTTTCCCAAGCTGTTTTGATCTCTTAGTCAAAAAGATTCAGATTAGATTTTTTTAAATCTACCATATCATTGAACAGATGTTAATTAACATGAAATATTCATCTTGTTTCAGATGATGGGTAAGTAGAGTAACTAAATTTTAATGTTAAAAAGAGGAAAGGAAAAGCATATGCCACATAAATAATGCATGAAAAATGGCAAACTTGTTTTTCCACCTGTTACTTTGTTACTAATACATAAAAAGACTGCTGCAGGCATTTCTTTCTTTTTACCCAAACATATAAAAACACAATATATTAAGGTATGTGTGTCTGCGACTGATGTTTCATAGGGCCTTGTAAGGCTTATATACAATAGCTTTTCGTACTTCAGCTGCAAGAGTGTTAAACAAGTGACTTGTAATTCTTAGACAAGTGAGGTGCAAGAAAGTAAGTTACAATACAACCACAAGCCTGAACTTGCCTGTATGAAGCCCTGCTGGCTTTAGGCAGATTAGTTCATGAAGATCATACAACAAAGCTAATCTCTGTTTTTCAGCAGGACTGGAACAAACAAATCACACTGAACAGCAAAACCTGAAATTGGCAATGGGTTTCCAGTATTGGAGGGGAGAAATAAGTTATCCTTATGAGTGTTACATGAAACTCAATAAAATGCAAGGAATCACTGCAACTTTTACTACAGCATTTTGGAACTGCCACCGAGTAGAATAGTCTGAGCAGTGTCCAAAACGAAAAAAATACCCACAGTCAAATCAAGACAGAAGTTTTGATAAAAGTCTGTCTCAGCAGTCCAAGACAAGTAGGTTTGGTTCCCCCTTGCATTCATGACATCTACAACTGATACTGGATTTTTGTTGTTGAGAAGTAACTCCTGAGGAAGTGCTGACTGTGCATACAAAATATACTTAGACCTTGAGTTAAAGGATCTACAAGCTAGTTACAGATATGATGTCATTTACTTTGCAATGTTATAATTTACGTTCCATTTTCCATTTGTTTCTCTCACTGATAAGACAACTCAGTGTATTTTCTCCACACAGGCTCTCAGGCCTGTTTCTTTCCCAACAGACATACCTGGGAGTGGAGGTAGAGAACAACTACGATTGCTAAGCATGATCTGAGAGAAGGGCCTCCTGCCTGCAGGACTACCTCCTGTAGTGCCCCCACCACCTTAAGCCTGTGCTGCCTCTGGGTGAGTTTGAAGAGCTGTGGCAAACACACACATCCCGTGCACACAGAATGCCAGTGCTCACACTTCCAAATTACTCTTTTCTAGACATACACTACCCACAATCTAGAAGGCATTGTATGTACACCTCAGGGAAGGTCAGGGCACCCTTTCCAGGGTTTCCACTGCAAGATGACAGATGTCTTCACTATGTATGAGACTCATGAGATTGAAATATGACCAATTCTCTAGAATTTGATCTGAAAAAATAACTGGAAAAATATTACTGAAGTCCTATGAATATCTGTTGTCTTTTCTTTCCCTTGTGCTACTGCAATTGTTCCTAAAAAAGAGCCTTGCCTATTTTCATATTCTATTCCTCCCTTCAGCCATTTCTAGAACCAGAAAATTTGCAGCTTATCTGGAGGTCTTCATAACAGGAGTTACAACAACATGACTGTTTCCAGAACAAACTTTTGTTTGGGGTAGTCCTATCAGCACAAGCTGCAATATCCATTTTTAAGCATTTACATACTTTCTGTTTAGCAACAAACCCACCTCTTGTTTACTCCATCTTTTGGTAGTATCATTCCCATTTTATATTTTAGCAGGGAAAGCTTATAGAATTTAACAACAACCAGAAGCCCTTAAGCTAACACTGTTTGTTCAGCTTCATTGTGTGATGCTGCCTGATCACACTCTGTCACAGACACGTTCTGCAGCAAACTTTCTCGCTGATTTATTGCTTCATGATTTCTGTTCCTTTTTAAATTATAGTTCTGTATATCAATGTGGTAATGGGTTTCTCTTGCCTTTCTCTTTGGTCTGTTAATAGCACAGTACCAAGTATTCCTCACCATTCACAACACTGGCTTGCAGGAGCCATTGGCAGGCCACATGCTTATGAATATCTGCATAGTTAAATTGATTTGTAAATCAGTGAATATATACAGCTTCCGACAGCTCTGCAATAGATGCTCAGGAAAATTATTAGATGTGGAATTAAGTTGTTCATATTTAAGAATCTAAGACTGAAGGTTCTGCCAGCAGACTTTTATCAAAAGTTTACATGCAGAATACCAAACATCATACCCCACAACTGTGACTCGAGAGAGAAAAAAAGTCAGTATGATTTTTGGCTTGCTTTAACCTTATGAATGTCCTTGAAAAGTAGATCTATAAATAGCAGGAAGTTTCCACTAATCCAGTTACTGTTTTCATCAGTAAAAATGTATCTATGAAGGCTGGCTCATCTCCTTCCAAGGAAAAGCTGGCCTGATTCTAGCTACTTAAACTGCAGCCTCTAAGCTGGTTTCCCAGAAGTTTCCATCAGATGAAGTGCTAAAGGGGTTCTGTAGTTGCTGGCACACTTCACTTCTCCTTCTAGCCAACAGAATCTATCCCAAAAGCAGAATATTTATACTATAGAAGAGACAGCACTGCCGCTGTAAGTACCAGGGGACAAGATGTCAGATCTCTTTTCTTTAGTTTAAATGAGCCTGTGAAGGGAAGGGTGCGAGGTGTCATCTTTCTAACACAAGTGAGATAGGTTTCCAGCTGAAAGGGTCAATTTATATGCTAAAGTAAGCCAACAACTCCACCTCCCCCCTGCCTCCCCTTTATCTTTTAATTGAAGTGCAACTAGCTACATTCACCTTAAACAATGGACTTTTCTCTTTTTCTGCTTGGCTTTGTCAATAGTGAGAGTGACAAGTACTGTACCGCAGAAGTAGCAAGAGAGTGCTATAGCTTTGGAAAGCACCTGCTCAAGTAACAATTTTCCTTATCAATCAGGAAGGAAATAGTTTTGAATGACAAATACTTGCAGGAGAGTGTTTTAAAAAGACAGGTATCGCCTTAGTCTGGTCAGAAATTGCTCAGCAAGGAGATGTGTTTTTTGTAGCAAAAGAATTTTCCAATTCAATTGCAAAAATCTTTCTGAGTTGGCCACTTGAAGATCAGTTTCTGACAGAAAATCTCTCATTTCTGCAAATAGAGATAAGGAGAGAGAACAGTCCACAGGGCTTCTCTTAGTTGCAAATGTAAAATGAACTGGTTATCGCTTGAAAAAAGAACCCAAACAGATAGAACGCTATAGATTGAACTTCACGAAACTGACTACATTAGCATTAAATTTACATTATTATCAAATTGCTAATTGTTAGTTTGCTTTTAAAAAAAGCTAGGAAACAATTAGAAAGTATCTCCATGATCCTGTTAGAAGTTATGCAAGAATTCTAACTTACCAGCTTACTCACATGGATTCATAAGAAATGCTAACTTTGCAGGCCTAGTCACTAATCCTTAGCTTATTCTCTTACCTCACTGACGGTTTATCAGCCTTGATTCTCAAACTACTGTGCAGTTATCCCAGGAACTACAGACATTTGGCTAACTGCAGGGAAGTATAAGGGATCTCTGAAAAGAAAATGTGCATATAGAGAACCCCTACTCCTGGTTATCCATACTGCAGTATTACTATAGTTACAGGATCACTATGGGTATGTACTATGTCACTTCACAACAGAGATTTTTGTATTCGACAAAGCATGACAAAGCTGTGGAGACCTTTACAATTACACCACTTTATGAGCAAACCTGCATTTCACAATGCGGTCAAAGATGTCTTTTGGACCCCAAGAACAGTCCTTTCTTCTGTGCAGGAGAGGAACATCCAGTTCAGGGCTCATCCCCTGGCAGCAAAAATTACACTTACTCTGTGCACTGCTAGAAGTTTCTGGGTTTTTTTCAACCCACCTCTCCCTGTCTTGTGACTGCCGCAAGAGAAAGTAATCTTTTCGTCCAGTACATGCTTCTTTAGGTTATTTCTAGTTGTTTTTAAACAGAAAATTTCTCCTGAACACAATTTTTTCCCACATTCTTAAATTCCAGACTGCAGATGAGCAGAAGCTTTTGCATACCTGTTTTCAGGTAAGTTTGAACAGAATGAGACTATGAAAAACATTAAGCCTAGATCAGAGTAACCTTTAAACAAATTACTGGTCTTGGTTAGATTAGGGAAGAGATTTTGTCTTCTCTCATTTTCCTTTGAACATGCTGAACTTGCACTTTTGTTCCATTTGGCAAGACCACCCAATGTAGTATTTTTCTTACAATTTGACTTCTTATATTTTGACAAGCAATGAATAACATACACTGAGTAGTTCTTGAGCAATAAGCTCTACGTACAAGCCCACAATACAACTGTGGTGACTGCTGTAGATACAGTTGCCACAAAACAAACTGGGACTTTACACCCACAATATAATGAGCTGTAACTACAATAACTGGCAGGTGTTAAAAGGGATAGTTGGGAGGATACAAGAAGTAGTATTCATTGAGTGAGCAAGAAATAACTTCTTGATTCCTGAGTAAGTGAAGGCGGCAAAGCCAATGTTACTAGAAGAGACTTTATTACAATTTTAACTACTAAAAATCAGTACAACATAAGCCTCATAGACCCATAGTTTGGGCAAGAGAAAAATAGATTAGCAACACAAAATGGAAGTTACTATTTTTACACTGTATCAGTGGATCTACGTGAAATTACTGAACCCCCAAATTTTACTATGCTGATGTGGTATGCTGAAATCTGAATAGTATGAAATGTTATCATTTTTATACATAGTTTCTTGTTTCCTGTCCTTTCTTCCTGGTGAGATTTACAAAAGGTGTCTAGGAAAGAAAGATATGCAAATTCCATATTGCAGAATAACCTGAACCACATGAATTCAGGTTATGTTTTTCAATGCTCATAGCCAAGTCTGAGGGACTATAAGCTTATAAATTTAGGGAAATACAAAAAATTAGAAGGAATGTTGACCTAAATCAACTTATCTCTTATTCATAAGGATTATATTACGAATGCAGTATATTCTTCTACTTCCTCAACTTATATTAAGTTATGCTGTATTAAAATGATTCAGAGAGCTTCAACCAGACTTGAAAGATACAGATACTTAGCACAAAAGCTCCAAATCAGCTGGAATATCCAGATTTCCATTAAATTCTCATTTCCTTCTTCTGCTCCAATCTCATACCACAGAAGAGAAGCAATTTCTGGTATTTCTGCTTGATTTTTTGCCCCACTACTTCTTTTCCCTTTATGCATTTTACCCTCTACTTTCTCCCATTTCTTTTCCATTTGTTTCTATTTTGCTATGGGGGTTGGTATCCATTTTACTGTTTCATTACCGGAAGACCATGTTATGCATTTCCTTATGATAAGGAAGGACTGACTGTGTTTTTGATACAAATCTTTACATCATACTTGGCAGTAAATACACTCTAGGTCACCCAGCAGGTTTGGGTTTGAACTGTGACAGTGCCATGTGCCCGTAAAGATACTCCATAAATTCTAAAGAATGTTGGGTTTAGCCATCTGAGCCTTGTAGTCTTTTTGTAATGAAGTGTAAGAACCTTAATTCAATATGACTGAATTTAGAATAATATATTATTTTTCATTTGTCACTGCTTAAGGTGAAATTGCTACAGGGAAGATCTGAAACCTTGTTCCTTCCTAATTCCACTGTTCATTATTCAGAACGCTAATTTTACTGTGAGCTGTATCTGCCAAAGTTACAGCTTGATACGCTAGCTATCAGAGAAAAGGGAAAGGGGGGAATCTTATTCTAACACCTTTTTTCAGTCAAAAAGTACCTGATGGGCAAACCACAGAGCTAATAGAGGAGCCATGTACATTTAAAATAAGTCAAAGAAAATTACTTGGCAGCTATGCTTTGCCACCATTTCTGCTGTAGATAATACAGCACTGTGGATTTCACATTATCATGAAGCCTTAACCATCCATAAGCCAAATTGTCTTGGTGGCGGTTACATCAGTAAGCCATGGAGGGAAGGGGCTTGTTTGTTTTAAGCATTAGTTTGAATGTTGTAATTTTTTGTTACTCAAATGAAAACATTTACATCTTCAGGTTGTCCAAAGACATAAATGCTGGAAGTCCACATCAGATAACAGTACCTCAATTTGTCCTCAAATACTAAAGCATTCTCAAATGGTTTAA